AGCACAGACTATAAAAGTAGAGAATACTGTGCAGAAATTAGAAAGAAAAAAGAAAAATACATAATGTATGATGTAAAAAGAAACAGATAACGAAAATTAAAAGGATTTTACTAGAGAAAAACAATTTCATTTTATTGTAAAGCTCTAAATGAATAAAATAAAGTCTTTGAATGTGAAGATGATTAAAAAGACAAAATCATTAGCTAAAGATATTTACAAGTTTAGACTTTCATTTTGATTGTAATTTTAATTAGCTGGACACTGGGGGGGATGAAAATGAAAGCCTACATCATCTACTTACTCTTCAAATTGCATTCCACCTTAATTTTCTGCTCTTCAGTTCTTAATTTTCTCTATTTTTGTTCTAAGTAATCCGGTTATCAGAATAAAGTGATTTTCTCTCAGCCAGGTTTAACATTCAGTATTTGAGTCTGTAAACCAAAAGTTCACCCCACTGCTTCAATTTTTATTCTTTCAATAGCAGAAACTCTCCAGGAAACTTTTCCAGTCTTTTGTCTGTGCAGCAGGGTGCTTTATGTACACATGACAGTTATGTAGCTAATAACAAAGGATTCTATTTTAAAAATAATTACGTTCCATTTACACAGTTTCCCATGGAATTTACTCATAAAATGCAGGATGCACCAGAAGATTAAATGCCATTTTCCTGTTCATTAAAGCCATTTTTCTAAATGTAACCGAGTTATTTGCCTTTTTGTCTTGAAGGAACCACATGCTCAAGAAGTGGTGAGAGTCAGTTTATTCTTAAACAAAAGAACTAATTACGTTTAGGCTGTGTCTGCAGCATACAGTTAACTTGCCAATTTGTACCCCAGTGTCAGGCCATGGACAGATGCTCCTTTCACAAATAGCTCTACTGTCTGAAGGTGCTGAAGACACTGTTGACCTGACTGTCCCTTCTGTGCCAAAAAGTGCTTCTTCAGCTGGTCAGACCAAGTGAGGGAACACAGTAGATCCTCCTGCTTCTAGCAAAGTCATCCAGGTCAATTTAAATATTTGATGAAGGCAGTTGAAGCAGATTACATTGCCTTTTCTAGAAAAGCTCTGGAAGCAGAAATCCAGAGCTGAAATGGCTGCTGCAGGTGCATAAGCAAGACAGTCTAGTCACCATGTGAGCATCCTTGCTATCAAGCCTTATCTGCATGAAAGACCCCTCACAGCTTCTGCCTTCCCCTGAACATGACCTGTTGTCAAGTCACATGGGATTCTTCTGCAAGTTGACTTGTAAGACATCTTGTTGGCCCATGAGGGCAAGCTGTGGAAAGGGCACAAAAGGACTAGCCACACACTAGGGCTTCCATCTGCACTGGAAATGGAAGATGTTCTATAAAAGGGAGCAAGCCTGTACTTCAGCCCTTAACCTAGCCAGGTCAGCTGGCTTGGGCTAAAAGTACCCTGCAATTAAAGGCCAGCAGAAGACTTAATGCTATCTCAGTAAGTCCTTGTCCCTTTCCAAATAGTTTCTTTTAGGAACAATTCAATCCTAAGAGGTGTCTTATATACAATTCTTACGTTACATGATTAGTTTTAGCTGGCTAAAAACCAGCAAGCATAGTGATCTTGACAAGATCATTATATCTCATTGTTTAAAAAGCAATTCATTCACAGACCTTCTTGCCCTGTCTTCCCACTTCAGGAAAGAATGCAGATAGGATTCACTCAGGGCCTTTTTGTAAAACATTTTCCACTGTGTGTATAAACAATCTTCAGCAAAGCCCCCAAATACCTTTCTGTACCTGGGAGTTCTTCTCTTTTTAGTGTCATTTTAGTTCAGATCAGCATTGTGCTTTTAAAGTGAATCTCTGATTGTCCTGGTGTTCTGTGCTTTGATTCACATCATGATGTGGTATTGAAGCACATGAACTAAATTCCTTTTGGATTAAACTGAAGTGGAAAACTCTGAGATGCAAGTAATGCACTCCAACTGCAAATGGGCATTCAGTCACTTGAAGCCAGCTACACATTTGTTTTGTGTGGCAATGAAGGCATGTTGCAGAGAAGGCAGGGACCCCATGTTCCTGTGCAAGTGCAATCAGAGTGATCCCATTGCTATTTATCCCTTTTCTCATTGGTCCCAAACCAAAGTCTCCACACCTGCAGATCCTACAGGTCAGCTGCCACACCTGCAGATCCTGTCCTTATCCACCACACCTGCAGATCCTGTCCTTACTCCCACAACAGTTTTGGTTTGTTTTTTTAAGAAAAAAAAAAAAAAGCCATATGACCTAGACATCACACCCTCATCACCACCTATTTTGCTTTAAGTTACACTCATGCTGGTCTATAAATACTGCTAATGCAGATGCCAGTTTAAGGATATCCTGCTTCAGATTCATCACCTCCCTATTTCTAGTTTTGCTTCTCTCTTGTACAATTAGATGTTCATCATGTAGTCACTGTCTCCCAACTAATTCCAAGAGGCTCAGAACTCTGTAAAGCTACAGCTGTCTGTTCCCTGGGCAGAACAGCCAATTGAAAGTGTTATATTTAAAACTAAAGGTCCAATTACAGGACCAATTTGTGATCTCAGTTGAGCCAATATAATCTCATATAGTTCATTGACTTTAACCTGACTGCAGTAGCTTTATTCCAGATCTGCTCATGTGTAGTGAAATTGAGTTCAGACAATGGCTCCGATTATTACTTTTTTAAGAATTAACTGGTAATGTGAGTTGCAATACAGAGTCCTTCCACCTTTGAAACAAGGCATCATAATTATCACTTGTGGGTCAGAAGCATATATTCAGCCTAATGGTGCTTCAAGGATCAAAGTGCTTCAAAGATTTTCCTTAAGAAAGCGAGAGGTGGGCGTATCAAGACAAAGCCTAGAAATAAGGACTGGTCACCTGGTACAATGTATACTTACATAAATACAAAAAAGATTTTTTTTATCCAAAGTAAGTGGTAAGGTTAGCTTACTTTCCGTGGGCATGCTGTAGAACAATTAAGAATTTTTATGGGTTTCAGTTTACAAGGTTTGATGGAACTCTCCAAAGAGGGGGGTATGCTATGCAGACTCGTCAAAGGCCATGTTTCTGCAGACTGATTATTCTCAATGTCCAGACTGAGAAGAGAGACATTGGCCTTGAGCTCCAGTGCTTCCATCCTGTTCTTTAGGGGGTATGCACATATGCTGACTTTAGCACTGTCAAGCAATATCTGTATAGCAAGAACCCAACCCTTCCAAAAATGATTCAAAGCACTTCAAATTAGGATTTTGCTCTGTATTACCCCCCAGGGGAGCCTGTCTATCCGTAACAGCTAGTGCACTTTAGTGAAGCAAATCTGTCAATAAAATTTAGATTTTTTTTTCAGTACATTCCCTTATTCGTATAGAAACATAGCAGATTTCTAGGTGTGTCATTAAATAAGTAGTTGAAAATTGTATACAAGGGTTTTTTTAAATACATAGGAGGAAAATACCTTATTTTTTGTGCACTCTGCACAATGTGGTTTAAAAATCCAAGCAGGCACATATGACTCCCATAGCACACGCAGCTATTGAATAAGCAAGCATCAGTACTGTAATAGTCACTTTTCAAACTAGAACTTAAAGTATGTTTTCAAGTTTCAGGTCAAGACACCCCCCATCAGATATTTAACATCTACACCTTCTTTCCTCTGTTTTTTTTCAAATTATTTATCTTTCTGGAATTTCTTTAACAATGGCAGACACCTTAAAGGTTTTTGTTTGGTTGGGCTTTTTTGTTTGTTTTTTAGCTTTGTGCAATTAATTTACACTAGATCTTGCCAATAATTCAATGCCAGTTCTATTTTTTTTGTTTTCCCTCTCCTTATTTTCATTTTTCAGAGAGTGTAGGGAGTAGTTTGAATTTCCCTGTTTCCTAGTACTTTACACAGAATCACAGAATCGCAAGGGTTGAAGGGACCTCGGGAGATCATCTACTCCAACCCTCCTGCTAAAGCAGGTTCTCCTAGAGCATGTTACACAGGACTTCATCCAGGCGGGCTTTGAATATCTCCAGAGAAGGAGACTCCACAACCCCCCTGGGAAGCCTGTTCCAATGGTCCGTCACCCTCAGAGTAAAGAAGTTTTTCCTCATATTCAACTGAAACTTCTTATGTTTCAGTTTGTATCCATTACCCCTTGTCCTGTCGCTGGACTCCACTGCAAAGAGTCTGGCTCCATCCTCATGACTTCCACCCTTAAGATACTTGTATGTGTTGATGAGGTCCCCTCTCAGTCTTCTCTTCTTCAGGCTGAACAAGCCCAACTCTCAGCCTCGTAGGGGAGATGCTCCAGTCCCTTAATCATCCTAGTTGCTCTCCTCTGAACTCTTTCTAGGAGTTCCTCATCTTTCTTGAACTGGGGAGCCCAGAACTGGACACAGTACTCCAGGTGGGGTCTCATTAGGGCAGAGGATAACCTCCCTTGACCTGCTGGCCACACTCC